TGTGGGCGCTTTCCCAAACCACTCTTACCTCACCACGAGGCAAGGTAAGAGTATGGATGATGATTTAGAAAATCACTCATCATGTAAGTAAAATACATGAGAACCTAAATAGACACTTTGAGAGTGGATGGAAGGGACCAAGTAAGGCACGTCTTGGTGCATGTGTCCACTATCTGTGTAAACAAGGTGACATGTAAAATAACATGTCACGTAGCGGCATGCGAAGTTAGAGCTAGGGAGTTACTAGTAATCTCCTAGTCTTCTCGAGAACTTCGCACTCCAGGTTTACCTCTCAAAGTCAATCGATTCGAATTCTTTCGAAGTCAACTCTATTTAGTTTGAGGTAGTTTTCTTTTAAAATTCCATCCCACCCACCCTACAAAGAGGTAAAACCAAGACTCTAAATGAGTGAGGTATCATCCATTCAATCAGAACTCGGAGGAGACCCAAGAACTTGGGTGTTATCACTTAAAACCAATGCTGGATTAATGAATCCAACCGTTGGAAAGTGAAACCAAGTCATTGGTTTTGGTAAACCAAAATATTGGTTTGGCAAAACCAATTCCGGGGCACCCTGCGGGCGCTTTCCCAAACCACTCTTACCTCACCACGAGGCAAGGTAAGAGTATGGATGATGATTTAGAAAATCACTCATCATGTAAGTAAAATACATGAGAACCTAAATAGACACTTTGAGAGTGGATCTGGGTACTCTTTAATGTATCTTTTATATGAGTCTCCGGCCCACCTGCCTTATTGCTTTATCGCTTCAACCGTTGACCCGTGAAAGTTCAACAGTGACGCCCCACCGACCCTGAATGAGTGGCCAGTTTGTCCTTCTGTTCCATTGCGTCGCCAGATTTTATTTAGACTTTTCATTACCTCTGACTTTGACAGCAGCCACCTTTCTCCGTCTCTTACATACGAAAACAGAGGGTCATTTTGCTTTCTCTGGTTCTGCTTCACTGTTTGTTCCAAGGCTTGGAATGGATCTAGACGTGTAGGCTGTTTCTTCAACAGCAGCATTTGAATTTTGTTTTGCTTAGCTGTCTTTGCTTTGTAAATTGCTAGTTCCAAATTTCCTGATTGTTTCTCTAGTGCAAGGTCTGTCAGGAAGGGTATTGTTTTGTCTGGCTTGTCCGACACTAGTTCCCCGAGTCGCGCGAGGCCCCAGAAAGCCACCAGGGCGACTGCAATGATCGCTTTTGCCTTGTTTCCATCTTTGTCCAACTCTTGTACAACTTGCTTTTAGTGAGATACCAGTACCGGTTCCTTTTCTATTCTCTTTTCCTTTGACACTTGTTTGACTGGAACCGTTACCCTTTGTTTCTTTTCTTCCTCGTACCTTTTCGACGCTTTCAACATGAGCTTCGCGAATTTGTCTTCTACGTCGGTGAATTCGCACTGCTGGAGTTTGTGCCATGCCTCCAGTCCGACTAAATACTTCCAAACAGTGTCTGCCTTAACCGCTTCCTTCGACTTATCCTCGGGGTTTCTCCGTTCACTTGCCCACAAGATAAACTCATATACCAATTTCTTTTTTGCAGGTAAGCACTCTCCTCGCCGTCTCCCTTTTTGTTCATTGAACTTGACATACTTCTTTATCCCCGAATTATAGAGTTTTGTCAACCTTTGACTACTAAATACCTCGTAGTAAGTGAGAAAAGGCTAAATACTGCTCACAAAATGTATGTTCAAGACAAGCTTATGAATTCAATTTTCGGTTCTTCGTGAAAACAATTCAATGCTAGTCTTTGAATATCAAGACAAAGAGATTTTGTACCGAAGTGGATACTTGCGTAAACTGGCTTTGGCTTTGCTTCAGCAAAAGGTGATGAACACTAGTTCAATCACAAAGTCAGATGAGAAGTATACGGTTGAATAGCTCTGACTAAACGATCTTTGTATAACTTCGAAAAGAGAATACAAGAAGAAAGAGATGAGGAGAGGAAAAGATACGTAGAATTACTAAGACAGGTGTTTTAAAGAATCTAAGGATAAGATATCTAAAATAACAGTTTGTAAGTGGTTTTGTAAGAAGATTGAGAAATTGGAGTTTTGGATTTTAATTCTAACAAAGTGTTTGCTTTGAGAGATGTAAGGTAGTTCTAATGATTCTAGATGATGAAAATGGGATGGGTCCTTCTCTCTCTGTTCTTTGAGAGATCTATTTTTATATCTGTCTTCTGGGTTAGAGAACCTTTAGTTTGTGCCTAATTAGCTCAGTGTTTCGAACGAAATTGGGTTAATTATGACTTTTAACCAAAGTGGTTGGTTTCTATCCCTGGTTTTCTTGATAAGCGTTTTTTTCACTAATCCCTGAATTAGTCTTGGTATAGACCTAGGCTAGTTCGGGATATTCTCTTTTTTTGTTTTGGTTCATAACTACTTTCTCAACCGTAGTTGTGGAATTTGTCCGTATTAATTTTCTTGAAGGGTACACTCTTGAAACATGAGTGGTAGAGTTGTAGATGAAATAAATATATATTTTTTATATGAGGGTTCAACCCTTTCTGTGGTTTATGTTTGTGATCTTGTCAATGCGATAGAAGTTCTACTCCACAGAACTTCTTACCGTTGACAAGTTTCATGTTATCATCTACCCATCCTCCGCCAGTGATGTGCTCCACCAGTTGTTTATCACAAACTTTGTCTACTCCGTCTGGCCCGGTTTTCAGCTCTTCCAAGTTCGGAGGGTTCTTTGGTTTTGGATGTTTTATTTCTTTTGTCAATCAGTCCATTCCTTTGGAATTCTTGTTCTAGCAGGCCTTCCAAGTCCCGAGGTAACTCGATTTCAATTTGCTTTGACAAGTCCTCTTCTGAATTATCTCCACGGGAAAGGGAATTGGCCGGATTGGTCTCCGATGTCACTCGTGTCTCCTTTACATCACATTGGTAGTTCGTGAGTAGGTCTTGGATCCTCTTCCATTCTTCATTCACCTGACTGTCCTTTGACTTTCTGTTTTGAACTACTCCTTCTGTTGGAGTGTTATCCGTATGTACTACAAACTGTTTTCCTTCTGTACCATACTTCTTTCTGACCATTAGTATTCCAAGTCTGATTACCACAGTTTCAGCCCATGCAATCTTCCTCTCTGGCTCATCTCTTCTCAAGTACTTCGTCTGCCAACCTCGTCTCAGTCAAAACATTGCCCAAGATGACCCTACAATCAAGACTAGTCCGTACAAAGTAGATGTGTTGCCATACCATCCTATCTTGACTGGGGTCTTTGCTGGTAGGATCCTCAGGTTATCAAAGTTGTGCAAGGTGAAGTTCCAGTGTTCCAAGTCCTCTCATACTTCTTCACTTACATTTCTTGTTATCCACTGATTTCCCCACACCTTCTTCAAATGGTGCATGGACCTCATATAGGCCTTCATATGAGGTGGGATTAGTAACGTGTGGCATAACCTCCCCACCAGGCCTTCAAACTCTTTATACAAAATCTTCCTCTTTGTCAACAAGATCTCTTTCGTTTCTGCCTTCCTTTTGTCTAGCTTGCTCTGAGGAAGTCTTACGGTATGTGACCTCTCATTCCAAATAAATCCCACATACTTTTTTTCAAAGTCGAACTCATGATACTTTGTTTTGTTTGTCTTTACCCCTAGCTGTTTGCTGATGCACACCACATCCTTCATCGTGACTTGTGAGTCCGGCTGTTTTAAGATCATGTTGTCATCTACCCAACCGAAGATTTTCAGGATTGCTAACTTCTTCTCTATTAAATCCTTCCAGGCATTTCCTGGCCTTCCAAAGATGCCACATCCTGCTGATCCACCAAAGGCAACTCTTGTATCCACCCATAGCCCTCCCTCGAAGTCCTTTAATATGAGGAATGGCCACTGATCTGGGTCAGTTGGGATTTGGCGGTAAGCCTTCTCCCAATCAAAGATGGCCAATAGCCATACCCCTGGGTTCGCTTTGAAGAAATCAACTACTTTTGCAAAGTCATCCCACGTGGTTTTGAAGTGATTTTTGTTGACAAACAAATTTACCAACAGAATATTTTTCTTTTGCCTTGGGTAGGACAGGTCGTGTATTACTCTGAAGGTGCCGTCTCCATTTACCATACTTCCCATTGGACTTGACCTGAAGAATGGAAACCATTCTTTCAGCTGGGAATGGCTAGAGGGTCCGTATATTCGGCCTTTGCGTTTCTCTTTCTCTAGCGTTTGTCGGATCTTCTCTCGCACATCCAACGCTGACCTGCGATTGTCAGGAGTGAACCATTGCAGGTCTCCTATGCGGTGGTCTGGTATCCCTTGCGGGAAGCTGTACTGAAAGCCTTCTAACACCTCTTTGTACTCTTCAAGTAGGTTCTCTTCTGTTAGTTGCCTCCGCCACTCTTCCACATTCATTTCACATCTCACTCTGCACGGCCATGCGTGACCTTCTTC